CATTAATAACTTCTGGATCTTCGCACTTAGCCCTCTGGTAGTCGTATTTGCGCTGAAAGCGTGTCTGGAGCTCTACACGCCGCTTAACAAAGTTTGAAGCCCAACGCGACCCAACGCGTGACGCGTCGCGTGTTGCAAGTAGTCGACTTGCCATATCTTCAACAACAGACAGCCGAGGAGGAAACCCTTTGGCAGCTAGGTCGAGTATATACTGAACAAGGACGGACTCCTCTAGGTTAGTTAATTTCCGTGAGTTGGCTTGGATATCGCGTCGTGAAGGTACACCTTCTAGACGACGACCTAGCTTGCGGTGGTCCGCAGAATAGATCCTAGCAGCAACTCGAAGGCGTAACTTTGGGTCGCTTTGCATAGCCTGGATAGCTAGCACTAATTGGCTTTCATCGTTTTTATGGGGCATGTTTTGTTGTTGAGGAATTTAACATTTAGTTGGGGGGTTTGGTCACCGCATCATTTTGGCGCTTTCGCTTGTTTGGCGCTTTCGCTATACATGTACGTTAGCTAGTAGTAAGCATTACATAGTGGCTTATTAATGACAATAGGGTAGAATTTTCAGTATAATTTTCATTTACTATAACGTGGTTTACCACCAAACGGAACATCCCACCAAATGAAACACTTTCCGATAGCATCGCAACCTCAAACCCAATTACTCCACCACACCACAACAAAAAGATGCCTCAGAAAGCTAATGAAGGCCGAGTTTTACTAGCCATTCAAGCTACTAAATCACCCCACAAACTGTCCATCCGACGTGCTGCGCAGCTATATGAGGGCCCACATGTAACACTTACCTGTCGCATACACGGAAGCCAACCACGAGCTGGTAGACGTGACAAACAACGTCCATTGACCCCAATTGAGGAAGAGGAGCTCATACGATACGTACTTGACCTAGATTGCGAGGATTTCCACCTCGAATTGAGGATGTACGAGATATAGCGAATCTCCTCCGTGCGACGCATCGCGAACCCCCAGTTGGAAAAAACTGGCCCTACCGCTTTGTACACAATGAACCAAAGCTTAAGACGCGTCTCTCTCGTGCGTACGACCTCCAGCGAGCCCTCTGCGAAGATCCTGATTGTATAACAAAGTGGTTTGAGCTGGTAAAGAACATGCAGGCGAAGTACAGCATCCAGGATGCTGACTTCTACAACTTTGATGAGACGGGCTTTATGATGGGTGTTATCTGTGGGAATATGGTTGTTACGAGCTCAGATCGAAAAGGCCGAGCAAAACAGCTTCAGTCTGGTAATCGGGAATGGGCAACAGCGATTGAATGTGTGAGTGCAGACGGCTTTGTAGTGCCTGCATACTTGATTGTACAAGGCAAGCATCACCTTGCGCCTTGGTACACAGAGTGCGGCCTTCCACCTACTTGGGCCATCAAGACCTCACCAAATGGCTGGACCGACAATGGTACAGGTCTAGACTGGATAAAACATTTTAATCAGCATACACGTGTACGAACACAAGGGGTCTGGCGGATGATTGTCCTAGATGGCCATGAGAGCCACCTATCTGCCCAGTTTGATATGTACTGCAAGGAGAACAACATTATTACGCTCTGTCTCCCTGCACATTCCTCACATCTTACCCAGCCTCTTGATGTTGGGTGTTTTAGTGTACTAAAGCGAATGTATGGTCGAGAACTTGAGGTCTTCATTAAGGCCTCTATTACCCATATCACTAAGATTGAGTTCTTTATTGCATTCAAGGCTGCCCACGACCATACAATGACAACTGAAAATATCCTAGCTGGCTTTCGAGGTACTGGCCTAGTCCCGTACAACCCAGAAGCAGTTCTCTCAAAGCTTGATATCAAGTTACGGACGCCAACACCAACTGGATCCCGCCTACTAGAGGCTGAGCCTTGGGTCCCTCAAACGCCACAAACCCCAGCTGATGCAATTTTGCAGTCTAAGTTTGTACAGAATAGAATTGGAATTCATCAAGGAAGCTCCCCAACAACGATTTTTTCAGCTGTAAAGCAGCTGGTGAAGGGTACAGACCGCATTGCGCACCAAATGACCCTTAGGCCAACACAGCACTTTCAAAGCGTCGGAAAGCCAAGCGTACACGTGTCCAAGATGGAGGGTCACTTACTATAGAAGATGCTCAAAAACTGATCGCTGAAAAAGAGGATAAAGGGTTGAAACGACAGAAAAGGTCAAATGAGGAGGGTGCTGTAGAGGCTGGTCCGTCGACTTCGCGGCGCTGTGGGAGGTGCGGCAAGACTGGGCATAATGTACGAACCTGTCAAGAGGTTGAAGAGATATTAGGAGAAGAGAGTTCAATTGAGTGTAGTTAATTTTAATGTGTTAGGGTGGAGTAATTGGGTTTGAGGTTGCGATGCTATCGGAAAGTGTTTCATTTGGTGGGATGTTCCGTTTGGTGGTAAACCACGTTACTTATAACGTATTTCATAAGCAAGTTGCCATCCTAAGCAAGTTGCTAGCAAAAACATCAAAATTTAACTATTACTACAACTACTAATACACCACCCTACATAATAACCCTTATTTAATTGTAATTGATTCCTAGCACCTCTCACACGTATAGGCGTTATGCCCTATAGTTCCACATACTCTATAGCGCTACTATTAGCCTATAGAACCCACCTACTAAGTGGTCTTACTTGCCACCTCTATATGGACTTAAGCATCAACCTTAGCACTCTAAAGGATATCCTCTCGCTCTTGTACAGAGAGACTACCCCCTTTCATTATATGCCTCTTATGCTTCCTTTCCCTTCTCTTTTTCTGTTCATTTGCTACTTATAGAGCCTTAACTTCTACCTTAAGTAGAACAGAAGATGCATCATAATTTCTACCCCTTTAACAAGGCAGCTAACAGCATCATTAATTAAGCTAGGAGAGCTGTTCTAATGTTGTATAATGTGGTTCTTGTGCTCTATATTTGAAAGTTAAGCTCCCTTATAGTTAGGGAGTCTTTAAAGTCTAATTGTTACTCTTAACTATAGGAGGAGTTAGAGTTCTTAAGTGTAGATTTAAGTGAGAGAGAACATTCTACAGTTTGTAAAGAAACAGGGTCCGCCACGTACGTCCATCTTGGAGGACATTTGTTTCTATTGGATGAACCATGCGGATCTTATTCCGATCGGCTCCGACCCATCCATCAGCACGGTATTCCTGAAGAAAATAATCGCAAGCCACTGGATGCACTATGCAGAGTATGTCACCAACAGTGCACATAGTTAAATTTACCACATGTCCCGCGGTGAGGCATTTGAAAAATACACTGTTGCCACAACAGAAAAATGGTGGACCGATCTCCACGATGCCCCCCGCGTGTGCATGGCGGCTATCCTGGAATCGCTCCGTATTCCCTTGGACCAACCAACACGGGAATTTGACCCCGAGAACTACTTAATTAGCTCCGAAGATTTCGTCGCGATATATAAGAAGCTGCTTTGGAGGAAAGACCATCTCGAGCTACTGATTAGTTCTGCCACTGGCCTAAATGCGATTGGGGAATAAAGAGGCTGCTGTAAAAAAATGCAATTGATACAGACCGCTCACATAGCGAACAAATAAAGTCTTTGGGGGAGGCAAAGAAGGCTTCCATACTGTTGAAGGAGGAGGTTGCTCAGACTGATTGGTTGGGCGTGTGGCTCGCCAACCGAATCGGGTTGCGGACCACCCACAAATAGTTCTGTAGATAGCTTCACTCAAAACAACAATACAACACATATTCCAGTGAACTGTTGTTCAACTCAACTTGATGATCTGTACTACCGCTGCAAGTGATATCAACAAATATAAAGGCCCCCTCTCAGAGGGGCTTCTTCCTTCTTCCTTCGCCAGCAGCTGTCGATATTGCTGTACCGATGCAGACCACTGGACCAAATCCACCGCCCAGACCGCCGAGCATGTCGAGATTTTTTGCCTACAGCGGGCTCGCATGCAAGACGCAGTGTGCCATCCCGGGGCAGGAGGACTCGTTTTCAGGGAGTACCCCTATTTGCCTGGTGTGACCAGGAAGTCGCCGATGCACCTCCTGAATGCTGGTAGTGCAACGGCTTCATGAGCACGTCGGCCTTCTGATCCGCTGATGGCACATACGACACAGCCGTCTTTCCGCAAGAGATGAGCTGTTGTATATAGTGATATCGCACATCGATGTGCTTCAGCGATGGTGATACAGGCTTGGTTATCACTTAGGATGTGACAGACTGAGTTATCACCAATGAGTTCTGGCCGATGAAGCTCCTTCAGGAGGGCGCGGAGCCACTGTCCCTGCTTCGACGCATCGCAGAGTGTGATGTATTCGGCCTCGGTGGTGGATGTCGCCACGCACCGCTGCTTGGACAATGTCCAGCTGACTGGGCCTCCGTTCAATAAGAACATATGCCCCGTAATCGACCCGCGGTCGACTTGATCTCCTGTGTAGTCTGCGTCGCAGAAGCGCTGTAGCATAGGCGATGCGTTGCCCCTTAAACCCCCATATCGTAGTCGTAAATTCCGAGAGCCATGTAGATACCAGATGAGGTGTAACGCTGACTTCTAAACGATAGAAGACACAGAGGTTTCTTGCGTAAGGTTGACTTGACAGAGGAGGCAGGGGATTAGACACAAAGGCTTTCCAAGTAACACGTTACAGTATTGTAAAGAATACTATATTGAGTTGAGCACGAAGCTCCTATCTAAGGAAATACTATCTACTTATATAGTGGCATCGTGCCTCATGGGTAATCTGGATAGTTGGCGGATAGCTAGATATTCAGGATAGTTCGTGGATAGCTCAACTATCCAATATCCACTAGTTTCTGCAACTATCCATTAGCCCCGTCACATGGCAGCCTACCCCGCTTGCCCCCTGTGACTCACACGTCACATTACTAGGCCCTGGCCCTGTAACCATGATGTCATGTTACTGTAGCCGTAAGATGAGGTGTGTGACCCCATTCCAGTGCCGGACCGTTGGAGCGCTGCAGTGCTGGCTCAGCTGCATAGAGACATAAGCAATGTCAAAACGAGTGCACACCGTCACCCTTCACAAGGGCAATGCGATCCGTTGATGGCGTCGTCCGCGGCTTCGCATCAGCGAGGCCAAATCGCCTGACCATCTGGTTGATATACCCAGCCTGGTCGATGTATATGAGGCGGCGCTTCCTGTCTCTGGTGACCCGTAGACTAAGGATATTCCTCACTTCGCCAAGATCCTTGACCTGCCAGCACCTCCGAAGGGCTGCAATGACTGTGTCAATGACCTCAAAATTCTTGCTCAAGATGACCATATCATCGACGTAAAGGCCGATGATCAGCTTCCGGTCTGGTGTTGTGAAGATGCTAGGGTCAGCAAAGAGTGGCTGGAGCCCGAGCTCTTTGAAACCCTTGCACGCTTCGATATACCACTCGCGGCCTGACTGTTTCAATCCAGGGATTGATTGGTGGGCATGCAAGACGAAACCTTCTGGGCAATCGAGCCTGTCAGGGGGACGAAGATAGACCTCTGCATGGAGCTCTGAATTAGGGTAGTAGTGACAACGTCTGCCTGCCGCATCTCGAGATCTTCACGTGCTCCGAGGGCGAGGAGGAAGCGGAGCGATTCAGCTCTAATCGTCGGCGAGAAGGTTTCTAGAAAATCCTCTCCCGGCACCTGGCTGAAACCTTAAGCCACGAGCCGTGCTTTGAAGCGGTCAATCAGCCCGGTGGGTGTGTATTTCACTCTGAATACCCACCGGCATCCAACGGTCTTTCTCCCTTATGGGAGCTTTACTATCTCCCATGCACCGAGTGACTGGAGCATTGTGAGCTCTTCACGGACCGCTTGGGCCCACTCGGCGGCGTACTCGCAGCTCTTCATCGCTTCTTTGAAGCTGCGTGGCATTGGGATCTCTTCGATGGCGGCGGCGTACGCCCCCTCGAATCGTTGCGCAGGATGCCGTTTGCGGCCGCTGCGTCTGAGGACTGGGCCGGGATCAGGGGCCCCCTGATCTGCTGCATCCTCACTTCCAGAATCGCTGCTGGAGCTCCGCTGAGAAACAACGTTCTCACTTGGAGCAGGCGACGGCGATCGCTCTTGACCGGTCTGCTCCGTCATCGTTGGTATGCACAGCGGGCGCATCAGTAACACCCGTTGTACTCGCAGTCCTGGTTTTGCGGAGAGACTGTGGAGTCTTTGTGCGCTGGACATGTGAATTTAAATTCGGGGCGGGCCCATTCAGAGGGTCCGCCTCCATTGGGTCGAAACTGACCACTTCCGTGCTGGGAGCAGCTTTGCTGGGGAAATCGAGTCAGTGACCCTCCTCGAACCATGGCGAGGTCGATACAATGATCTTTTTCATCTCAGGGTTGTACAGGCGATACTGCTTCGAGTCAGGCATGTAGCCCACGAGCGCCGTGCGCACGGCGTTCGGTGCCAACTTGTCACCGTCCCTCTGTTCAGGGGCTAAATGGGCGTATGCGACGCAGCCCCATGCCCGCAGGTGGGAGACCGAGGGCTTCTTGCCACTATAGGCCTCTTCAGGCATCATTCCTCCTGGTCCAATTGGTGTCCTATTTCGAATGTAGGATGCCGTTATCACTGCTTTGCCCCAGAGCTCAGGGGGAAGCCCGGCGTCAGCGAGCATGGCTCGAGCTATCGAGACGAGGGTCCGATTGAGGCGCTCTGGGACACCATTTTGTCATGGGGTGTATGCCGTGGTGTACTCAAAAAGAATGCCATATATTATTCTGAATATACTCTCAAGACCCTTATACACTCCGCCATTATCGCAGCGGACGATCCGTACTTTCCGCCCAGTCTCTAGTTCCACACGGACGCGAAACTCAGAGAAGATGGGCCGTATCTGGTCCTTCGTGCTGGCGATATATATCCACGATTTCTGGGTATAGTCATCGGTGAAGGTGATGAAATAGATGCCCCCACCGATGGCTGGCACTCTATAAGGGCCCCATACATCACTGTGCACGCGATCGAGGGGATTCATGGCACGCTCAGGGGCATGCCGGTTTATCACCCTCGTGCTCTTGTTAAGCCGGCAGGACTCACATGGTTCAGTGAAGTCCTGCATAGGGCCCGGTATCCCGTCTGTGACGATGTGGGCACGCTCTAAGATCTGGGAGCTTAGATGCCCGAACCGACAATGTCATAAGATGGCATCCTTCGCCATCATCTGTTTACTAGCCATCGCAAGATATGTGGAGATAGTTTCGTACTGCGTCCCAGAGATGACATACGTGCCATTGATGCTATGTCCAATGCACACAGTTTTTCCTTCGCGCTTCAGGCGGATTTGACGATTGCGAATCGTCCCTTCAATACTGTCGTCTTCGAGTTGTGACACTGAGAGAAGATGCCCAGCCAGTCAGGGCACATGGAGCACATCTTTGAACTCCACGATCTGCCTTGACCCATCGATGATGGTTTCAACGTTGACCGTTCCTTCAGCAATAGCGCTGATGGATCCGCCACTAGCTATGACAATTGGAATAGGTCGATCCAGCGTGTGATATTCAGTGAAAGCGTCACGGGCAAATGTCATATGCCTCGTGCACTCCGAATCCAAAATCCACGTCACGGCATTGGAAGCTCGACTGGTAGCGCTGTCAATATCCGTAGCGGCAAGCCATGCCCTCACGACTGGGCCATCGTGAGGTTCCTTAATGGCCATATTCGTAGCCTGCTGTGGTGGTGGCGAGAGCCCCTTTCCAGCGGTTGGTGTTGCGAGGGGTCCTGTGGAGGCTTCCCCCACTTTCTTCTCAGACTTCTGGTCCCTTTTTCTGGTCTGGCATTCAGACTTCCTGTGACCGGGTTTGTCACAGTAGAAGCAGTATCCGGAGAAACGAGGCTTGCTTCCTTGTGTTCAGCCACTGCCCTTGCCAGCAGTGGGCCTAGCATCTGATTCCACCTGCACGAAGTGCTGTCTCCTTTTGGGGCTTTGGCGCGATGAGATGGCGCTCGAAGTTGGCGATCTCTCCAATGGCAGAGTCGTACGATTGGCCCTTAGAGAGCTTGATTTGAGTAATGACGGCGTCGTACCGACTCCCTCTTGCTCTCATGATTCGGAAAAGCAGTGAGAGTTTCGCTCCTTCAGAGGGGCGATCCATAGGGCTCAGCATTCCGATTTCATGTTGGATCCGGTCGAGGTCTGCATCGATCACCTCGACCCCAACAACATCGGACTTGGGCACATAGCCATAGAAACTGTCCAGCTTCATGGCGACATGCTCGATGCCAGTAGGCGCATAAGTCGCCTCTGTAATGGTACCAGATGTGAGAATCTAGCCACCCAAGGAAGGGATGATTTTACTAAGACAACACACTGTCTTAGGAAAAAGAGCCAAAGGGTCATAGCTTAGACTATTCCACAACGCAGCAATCAGGTGTATGATGTAGTGGAGTGGTTTAGACAAGTTGTAACAAATGTTGAGTCTGAGAACTCAGGGATAAGGGATAAGTCAGAGGTTAGCACCTCACTGACTTTTCAGAAACAAGGAGTAACAAGATCAATGCTTGTAAGCTTGGAAAAGATGTGGAAGTATGTGATAGTCGATTTACTGTATTGTCTGCTTGCCCTTTCTTAAGGAAAGGGCAATCCTATTTATGCTAAAGGAGTGTAGTTCTCTCATTTTCAAGACTTTCCATGACTAACCAGGCTTGGTAACTGTAGTCGACGTAAGAGAATCCCATAGAACCATCTCCTAGGTTCCTAGCCCAAGAAGTGAAAGGAGGTCCAAGGTCAGAGTACCCCTGTAGCCCGGCTTGGGCGGCCACCTACGGTGTGGCTTTTTGGGTCCCGTGACTATGGCGGCCCAGAACTTCGGGGCCTATTCACAACAGAAGAGTCCAGTTTCATCCATATTGTATATATCCTCTTCTTGAAACTCCCCTGCTATTGTCCGTAGTGCCCTCATTTCTTCCTCAACATTTTCCGGAACTGATGCCGCCTCTCCAAACCGTTGCCGTGATTGTATATGATGTTGCTTTTTGAAATTTTCGAGCCAGCCAGTAGAAAACGATGGGCACTCTTGGCCAGCATATTCTGGCAGTCGTTTCCAGATCTGCTGTGCCTGTAAGGACACAGGGCACCCAGCTCACAGTAATAGCATTGAGAGTGCAAGTCGGAGGCTAAACGGATGCTATCCTATAGGTCTACTACGAAGGATACAAAAAAGATGAGGAGAGGAACCCCGTTGGGTCAATCTCCTTAAGTACCCGAAATGGGTCCGACTTGGCTAACCTGCCTTCACTCTCACCATGTGACTGGGAGAGGGACCCCGTTGGGTCAATCCCCTTAAGTACCCGAAACGGGTCCGACTTGGCTAACCTGCCTTAACTCTTATCATGTGACCGTAACCTGTCCAACTCAGATCCTTTCCGTCACTGAGGGACAGGCATCCTTACAGTGCCTTCTGCTGTAGTATATCTGTAAACCCTCCCTTTTCTTCAATCTGAATCTGCCACTCCCAAAGGATTTCCTCTAGCTTTGGCCACTGGCCTAGTCGACGGCGTTGGATTCTAGTGTATTGGTTTTTATCAAGGGCCTCAAAGTTGCTGCTTAGTGATTCAGAAATAGTTGACTGGCTTAATTTGTGATGATACTGTCGTTCAAACCATTCAATACACTGCCGCTGAGTTGGCTTTGGAACTTGTTGGTGGGCCCAGTGTTGAAGGGCACGCCGCTCGACTGTAATCGGGTGATTCTAATGGCTGTCAGAATATACGTTAAGACAATAAACAGGCTGGAAAAGACGATAATCATTGAATCATATTTTGTATGGTAAAAATATCGGTCCGTGGAAAAATATTGCACAAAAGAGGTTATCGGCTAAAAGAGGATCGTCTAGGCGAGGTTTGACTGTATATACAATTAGATACTTCTCCTAAGTCCTCAGATTCTTCATCTCCTTGCTTAATTATATCCTTGTTTGTAGTTCTACCTGTTGCTATTGACTTCTGTTAAGTAACAACCTCTGCTTCAACGACCTGTAGCTGCAATTCCCTTGTAGAAATATGAAAATGACCCTTTAAAATTGCTCGCTTGCCTTTTTGCTGTACTCTCCAAGCTTGAACAATTGATCGTAGATTGTCAGTATCATGTTGTTATAGAAAATTGCGTGTATTTAGTCGCTCTGTTACATCTGCTAACTTTTGAATATTCGCTTTATAGATGTGTTTAACACTATACGGGCTTCAAGAATAGTAGAGAGTACTGTATTTGCTTTCCGTAGTGTTGTAAAGTCAGGTGGGCTACTATTTTGAAAGACAGTATCAAAAATATCATGTTGTTGTGGTGTTTGAGGCCGTTGTTCAACTTTAATAACTTCTTAAAGTGTCATTTCACGGATAATTCGTCGTGGTTCAATTCAAATGGTTGTAGTCCTGCTCTTCTCTACGCTAAAGTGATATTTTGGTGAGTAACCCAGCTGGGTGAGTAAAAATTCTACTACTCGACTCATGAGTACCCAGTGCGCAGCCTACTCGGTGTTCCACCCACTCGCTTCGCTCGTAGGTGGCGACAGCAAGTTGTGCGTGCGACAGCAAGATGTGCGACACATAAAACGAAGAAAAAGACGCCTTATATATCAACTATATAACTATATAATTAAAACATAAAATCAATAGAACTACTATCACTATCGCTACTGCCACTATTGCTACTATCACTTTGATCCTTACTATACCGTAAAATGATCACTTTTGATTTCAACCCTTCCTTCTTCCGCTCTGCTACCCGCTTCCTCTCAACCTTACGCTCTTCAATTTCGATTTTACGTGCTTGCGCTTGTAGCTGCTTTACTACTTGGTCCGATTCCCTTGCTGCTCTTGCGTCTGCTTTTGCTTGCAACTTTGCTTTCTTCTCTTCCCGCATTTTCCGTGCATCTGATGCATATAACTGCCCTCCTTTCTGTAGTGATTTCCGTGCCCTTGCCTTTGCTGCCTTCTGCTCTACTGCACGTAGAGTCATAATATCTAGCTCGGTCTTATAGAGCTCTGCCCGGTGTAGAACAACTGTAGTTCCACGTGCAAATGATTGAAACCCTTCTCTTGAAGGCGATGAGAAAGCTTCCTCTGCTCTCTTCTGCCAATGTTCAACCGCTTGCACACTTTGCATAGTTGTTTTCGGTGTTGAGATAATATTATATGAAGCAAATGGCTCATAATCAGGTGTTTGATTCCGAGTCTCTTGTATCTTGTCAATTACAAGTGGAGGATTATATGGATATAGTCCTGTATTTCTCCAACCAGATTGAATTGTACGGACAGTTAGAGATTGCCGTCGGATTTGCGGGAGGTCTGAAAGGAACGTACGTAGCTTATACTCATAGTCGTAGCTACGTACTGCTTGATCAAGTGCCTTTTGATGAAAGTGTTTGCACTGCTTAAAAACCGCTACATCAAGAGGTTGTAATAGATGTGTTGTATGAGCAGGAAGGCAGCAAATAACAATGTTATGCTCTTCTGCTAATGTAAGAAAGCGCTCTGTTTTATGAGAGTCATGGCCGTCAAGTAATAAGAGGCGAGTATCATCTGGTGCCATATGCTCTGCAGATAGTTGGATAAAATGCATAAGGTATTGGATTGCAATGTCGTCGTTTGAATACCCGCTCTCATTTACAATAATGAGAGCATTTGGCTCAAGGTCATCATTGTACCATGAATCCATATGAAGTTTGCCAGGGATAATGATAGCTTCTGCAAGTGCAGCACCACTTGCATTTACTGCCTCAATTACAGTAACAGAGAGCCGATTCTCAGGATTATCAACAGTCCACTGCTTTACACCGATTGGTACAATAACAGCCGTAGACTTATAACACCCAATCATATAGCCTGTCTCATCAACATTCCATAAATTATATGGCTTAATGTTATGTTTTGTAATAAGGGCGTTATATGTGAGAAAGAATTCCTCAAACACCTCTTTCTTTTGTGCTTGCTTCCGATGTGTATTTAACGTCTTCGTGTGAATTGTATGAAATTCGGGGTGTGCTTTTAGAAAGCGTTGTAGCCACCGTTGTGATGGTATCGTACGATTAGGTCGTAAGTCTGCAACTGCCCGTAGTATCATAGATCGGTTGGCAGGGACCCCGCGCTCAAGTTGGTCGTATATGAATTGACAGACCGCGGTCTCTTGCGATTGAGATAAGACTCGATTGCTACCTCCGTGGGGTAATTGAGGAGACGTAGTACTCGTAATACGACGTCGGAGTGTCTCACGGTTGACATTGAATTTATTTGCAACCCAAGCAATTGTATATGTACTTGGTTGTTTTAAGAAGAACTGTTGGGCCTCATTAAGGCGAGCAATCATAGTAGGATCGTTATTTTGAGGCATTGTAGATACTACGTTATGAACAATACTATTATTTTTTCTATATATCAAAATAGCGGTGTACGCACATCTTGCTGTCGCACGCACAACTTGCTGTCGCCACCTACGAGCGAAGCGAGTGGGTGGAACACCGAGTAGCCACGACTCACGTTACATTAAAATCTGCACTATCTATATATCTGGTTCCTCCACACTCTACCACCCGCCACTAATATGGGATTCCGTTCGTCATCAGCTGGAACTGATCGTACACGCCCGTACTATAACTATTATGACTCCTCCGCACCAGCCCCCGCACAAATACCGCAGCGTCACGCTCGCTCTTCTCCAGCACGAACCGCTCGCGGAAGTGCTTGATGCTCTCCGGCTTGAAGCACGGCAGCCCGCTATCGAGCATTAGCCGCACAATGCGGCAGAGTGCGTCTACGTGACGCCGCGCGGCTAAGAAGGCCTTGACGCACAACTCCTCGAACCAGCGATAACTCTGCGTGCTCGACGAGCCGCCCATGACGGCCACCATCTCAGCCGTGAGCTTGAACGGCGCACGCTCAAAGCGCACGCCGCCGGGCGCGATATCGAAGCAGAACCCGAAGTCGATGTGGATGAGATGGCCGGCGTCGTCGAGCATGATGTTACCGTTGTGACGGTCCTTGAACTGCAGCAGGAAGGCAATGATGCTGTACGCGGCGAGGGACTTGACGAAGTTGCTGCGCGCGGCCTGGAAGCGCACGCTGTCCGGTGTGCCGTACTTGCTGACGAAGTAGTCGTAGAGGCCGTTGACGGCTTCGCGCCCGAGCATATCGCGGGACACAGAGTTAGGGAGCACCTCGATGATACCGCATCCGGGTGCAGTGGCGGTGACGCGGTAGGGGAAGACGTATACGTCGAGTCCGACATTGCTGAAGATGCCGCGGAAGGCAGCGATCATTTGCAGCGCGAGCAGGTCCTGTCGACAGTCGTCGCCGACCTTGAAGATCACGGACTGCCACACCTCGATGCTGTTCTCGGGGACACGCTGGCGCGGGTCGGCTGCCTCGAGCATATCTTCCGTTTCCTCCATCTCAGCGGCGACATCCTTTTTAACGCGGAAAGTAGCCATGTATGGTGCCTTTGCGTGACTCTGGAGCGGCTTGCCAGACTTTCGGTCTATGCCGATAACAACGCCGTCGGGGTCAATGGGGAGGTAGACGCCGACGTCAAGCTTGATTTTGCGTAGTTCTTCTTCGATCTTCTGCTTCTTCTCGGGCTTTGGCCTCTTGATGAACGGCTTCAGCTTACCAGAGATGCTCGTTACCTCGTCGAAGAAGGTAAACTCGCGCTCATAGAAATCTCTATCTGCTCCAGTGAAGCAGCTTATCATACGGGCCATCACATGGTCGAGTGTTGGTTTGATGCTATCAGGCTTGGGCAAATCAGCGTTTGCATTCTCTTTTGGTAGGGGTCAACTTACAATTTGTGAGTCCTCATCCTTGTAGCTGTTCGCCTTCATGTTCCATATAATCTGATGGGCAAACAATTGCGAGAACTGTGCAGTCTCCACAATGTATCTTTCCACGTAACCCAGCGTATCATAGCGCAGTGACTGCACAATCTGAGGCACATAGAAGAATGTTACCTCAACGCTATGGCTTTCCAGGGCACGCATAGCATATTGAGTGATGAATGGGTTGTCGCTAAATGAAGGCAAAAAGTACGTGACTGCTGTGATAGGATTGACTGGGGTCCAAAACAATAGGTACTACAAACTGTTAGTAATTCTCTAGGCAATTCGAAGAAAGTACACACCTTAAGCTGCCACTTCAAATCACTCTGAAACTCGCGACCCATGAGGATATTCAAGCCCTCGCGGTCATTAATCCCTCTTAGCGGATCAGCGAGCAACAGATTACGCACATCTGTGTGCACTCCCGCAGAGTGAAACCTTGTGGCCAAGCTAATTGCCAGAGAAGGGCTGACAAACCAAGCCGTATTTACAAGGCGTGCAAGGGTAGCCTCTGAAGGTTCAGCGTGATGTGAAGCTTTCCCCTCGGCAAATGGATCGAGCCAGACCCGAAGCCTGGATTGCTCGTTTTCGAGAAGGGCGAAAAGTAGCTCTTCCTTGTCCTGGAGACGCTTCAGAGTGGAAGCATTCTTGGCCCCTATGTGTCCCACGCTGTCAAGCCCGGCAGCAACGTCGGACAGTAACTTAGCTTCTGCCTTAAGCTGCAAGCGGTTACCGCCAAAAGTGAAGCAGGGCGCGAAGGAGAACCAGCTAAGGGCAGCGGATAACATCTGGTTTTTGAGGCGATACTGGCCGGCTGCAGTTAGTACAGTGCCATGTCTGAGGACTTTCAGACTAAGCATGACGATGTTAAATCGCAGCTCTCTCGACAACGGGTGTCCTGTCGAATGCATCAGCCCATTAAGAGTGGCTTGCAGTAGCCTAACAAATGTTTTTTGGGTATGTGGGCTGCATAGGCGGGTGGCGTTGAAGTGACTTGCGAGGAATTGGAGCAAGCGGGAATGGGGAGCCAGGAGATTGTGGGCATGCTGCTGCTTCTTGTGCAATGCATCCTTATCACTGGGGGCGTATTCTTTTCTGATAAAGAAAGGGTCAGGGTGCCTAAAAATGTCAGCGCGTCACATATTTGATGGTGATCTCGCTTTCTCACTTGAACTCGTCATTGAAGACTCCCTTCTTCATGTGGATCGTATTCTCCCACTGTTGGGCGATTTCCATGATGATTCTCGACTCCATCCTTGGGTTTTCGTTGATCACTCCCTGCCACAACGATATCCCAAGCTTAATTGACTGCTTGCTAAAGTGCGCAAAAGGGATTCCAACAAGGTGCTTGACAACAGCGGCTTCGTCGCCCTTGGCGCGGCATAGGAATGCTGCCGCGCGTCGGAGCATATCGCGTAGCTCGGAGATTGGGATGAACTTCCCTTTTTGCATTCGTGCATCCAGGAAGTTCAGCACTGTGAGAGCATCAGCGTATTCCGTGCCGAGACCCTCTACCAAAGTTGAGCTACGGCTGCTAGCGACCTTCATAAAGTTGGTCCACTCAGCATCATAATCAGGAAGACCTTCGGCGTATCTATACTCTTGACGCGTCGTATACTGGGCAACGAAATCGGAGATGGCATTTATTTTAGCGTCCCCATGGCGGTCGATAGCCCCAAGTCGTTGATCCGTAACTGGGATCATGCCTCCCATTTCGGCTGCAAAGGATCTTCCGAGTGATATATGCCCGTATGCTCCGTCATCATCGTACTCGGATAGATAAGTCTGCAAGAGCCCCTTGATATCCAGAGGCGCAATGTTGATAACATTCATCATCCATACCTTGGCCTTCTTGTAGAGAGTGTTCAGCGTTCTACCTCTGAATTCAAAGTTATCTCCGAGCTGGATTGTGACCTTGCTGCGCGCGGACGTGTAGGATGACTTCCACTCGTATTCGTCCGTTTCGGCCTCCAAACAGCTTATCCACATGAGTGAGAGTAGCTCAAGAAGCGCAAATAATGATGACCTTTGACAAAGCGCTGACGTGATGTTCGACAATATTTTGTCAGCGCATACAGTAGCTGCCTGCTGGACCCTCTCAATACGATGGCAACAGCCGCAGAAGATTGAAACGAGTTGCTCGGCCACACACGGCGCTGAAAAGGCTGGGTTCACGCCTGAGATGGCCTTCCGTAGGTAGGTATCAACCACCGACATAGTGATAGCCTCCATGACACTGCTCATATTGCCTGTCCTCATGCCAGGTTCAAGGAAGTAGATCATGGCTTTTGTACAGTCGCCGGAATCGGCCCGCAGTGTCTCAACAAGGTAGGCTGTATGCAAGAATATGGTCTTGCGATAGCTGAGGCTGCGTATCTCCCTTGCCTTGGACGGAATTAATGAGGTTAGTCGTTTCTTCTGTATAGCCTCGTGCTCTGAGTTCATGCCTCTTCGGAGAACACTGTTAAGTTCGATATCGCTTTCCAGTTGCTCTCCCCTCTGTTCCGTAACCAACGGTTTGGAGTTCACGGCCAGGAGACGGAGTTCATTGAGGTATTGCCTGCCTCTCTCGGTGCAAGTAGTGAAGCCATGAACAACCATATTGAACCAAGCGTCCCGTACAAGTGCCCAGATGTCATCGTCAGTAGTTTTGTCTTCGCCAAGGTTGTTGGTTGACATCAACAATGCCAAAGGTTGAACCAGTGTCTCAATCTCCCTAGCGGCACTCTCAACGTCCGACTCGCGGGCATGGTGCAATTGATACACATCGCCTCGGCTGATGATTGATTCAAGGAGGTACTCAAAATAAATATCGTAAGCCGATGAACCCTTCGTCAGAGTCGAAGAAAGATAATTCCTAGTTTTCAACAGGGCGGCCAACAAGCTCTCGTTCTCGTCCAGCAGTGCTTCCTGGGTTAACCTGCTGTAAAGCTTGAGGAGCGATTTCAACTCAACGGGAGCTCCTGTTGACGCCAGAACTGCTGCTTCATAAATGATGGCGGCATCGACGGCGGTGTCGATTTTAGTGATCTTCTGGAGGAGCATACTTTGAGCAAGCGCCGCTATCTTGTCATCGGCGCAGCTCTCTGCGATGACACGAATGGCTTTAATGACATTTCCATATGCCACGGCTACCTCCAATTCCCCAGCGGCAGCCAAAGATATGGTACTACCCTTTTGCTTTACACCGTAAAACGCGGGGCTGGCATGACCATTGGCTGTCTCGCCTTTGGTTTGGTTTGCAACAACCCTTTCCGTGCTTGTGATGGGAGTCAGGACATTTCCAAGTGAATAGAGAGTTGTTATCACATCATCCTCGGAGAGTAAACGCAGCACAAAGGCAAGACAGGTCGATGCCACGGCAACGGTCTCGCCTCGAGGTGAGCCTTGCACGATAAACCGCGGGAGGATTCTGCTCATATTTGGCGCGAGACCTGGACAAATCTGCGCGACCAATGCCATGGAACGAAGTACAACATTCGCCAATGTCTCGTCGGCCATCTGGATTGGATCAGAGAGAGTTTCTTCCAGCCAGACCATAAGGCTCTCTGCATCAGCTACGTCGTCGTTTAAGGTGACGCAGTTGAGATAGCACGTCAAAGAGCCCGCCTTTACAGCAAAGGCAATTCGCTGCTGCCATGCAGATCCGATTCTGAGGTAGTCGGCGCCATCCTCCAGCTTGTTCATCTCCTCGGTAGCAAATTCAGCCATGGTCTCGATGCTAGGTAATAACTCCTCCGCAGTGTGCGATGTAAGCGGCATCGTGTCGCCCATCATTAACTCAAGGATGCAGTTGTCTCTGAGGGTTTTCGTATCCGCGATAAGGAGAGATGATGTCGCGACCAGAAGCCACATAAAGCTTCGCTGTAGCAGCATAGCGCCAAGTGGACGACCAGTGGCAGCATAGTGCCGAACATGCCTCTTCCACTCCTTAACCTCGCGATTTGTAGATTGGTAGTTGCGGATCCTCGAGAATGCAGTTTCGACGGCCACTAGGAAATCCTCGGAGAGGACTCTCTTAACAACTGTGATTAAGGCGAGCCTTTCACCGGCTGTCCAAAAGTTGGCATGTATCGTGGCTGCATCAAGGAATCCCAGCAGGGCGATTGCTACTTTAGCAACATTGATCTCATCCACAACGTCCCCAATATCCTCCTTTCCCACAGCAGATCCCTGCCTGGAAATGACTGCCTTCGCGGTGTACTGGCATCTGTCGAGATATGCGGTGAAGTTCTTGGATATGGCATTCTGTAGACCAGGGTGGTTTATGCCCAGTGACAAGAGGGCGCTGGTGAGGTTGAAATTCAGCGACTCGATGGGCGACGGCTCAATCTCCCTGAAAAAGGGGGAGGTGACAGAAACCTGCGTGTGCGCTTCGAGGGTATATGGCGCCAGTTGCGCAGCAAGCCTCTCGGCACTTTGGTAATCCTGAAGAAGCGGCGCGGCCTTGCATAATGCGAGTAGGACTTCGAATTCCCTTATGTTCTGGGGAAGTAAATCAGTAACGTCGCAATATGCGCCCAGCTTGAATTGAGTGAGTAACGTACCATAGCCACTCCCCCCAAGAGGACATTGTTATCATCCGCATGCCCATTGGGTCCTGGCTTCGAAGTCGAACGAGAAGGGAATATATTATAGAGTCGCTCCAAATCGGGGTTGCCTTGCGACTTTCCTGGCGACGTCACAGAGAGCGCTGCGATTTTCTGCAGCGCCTTGCGCCGGATACCTCTAGCCCGTCTATCCTCAATGATTAGCATTAAATACTTCAATATGAGTCAATTGCCACTCACGTATCCATTGGTAGAATATTATCCTCCAAGGTTGGCGGTTTAAGGTAACGTGTCATGGCTCGCGATAATTTGGACCTGCCGGACGCGACTTTCAAAGGTCACCGTAGGAGGCTCTAGTATCCCAGGCAGCTTTGGCAACGCAACCTAACCTCATCATATCATCAACAGCTCCATCAGAACCACCACAGAACACCTTCACCCATTACATCCACAAACTGATCCTCTTCACCGATCAATCATAGCAGACTCACCTGACAACTCAGACGCAACTCGATCGCCCAAGATGGCAGCCATGTTCAGCCAGAACCCGGTGATGAACGGGCCCAACTACTCCTTCAACCAGTCCGCCGCCCCATCCTCCGCCGCCGATGGCTACAGGCAACACCGCTTCGACCCGTACGTTCTCTCCTTTCCTAGCCACAGCTCAAACTGACATCCCCTCCCCAGATACACTGACAACGGTGGTTCCACTCTCGCCATCGCAGGCGACAACTTCGCCATCCTGGCTGGCGACACCCGCTCCACGTCCGGCTACAACATCAACACCCGCTACGAGCCCAAAGTCTTCAAGATCGGCGGCAGTGGCTCGACACAACGCGACGCAACCCTGATTCTCTCCGTCGTCGGCTTCGCGGCCGACGCCAACGCGCTCAAGGAGCGCCTCGACACCGTGGTCAAGCTGTATCGCTACCAGCACGGCAAGGCTATGACGGTCAAGGCGGCGGCGCAGAGGCTGTCTATCATCCTATACCAGAAGCGATTTTTCCCGTACTACGCGCACGCGATCCTGGGCGGCTTGGACGAGGAGGGCAAGGGCGCCGTATACAGTTATGATCCCGTGGGCAGCTATGAGAGAGAGCAGTGTCGTGCGGGTGGTGCGGCGGCCAGCTTGATCATGCCGTTCCTGGACAGTCAGGTGAACTTCAAGAACCAGTATGAGCCGGGGAGTGGGGTTGGGCATAACTTGAAGGAGAGGGAGAGGGTGTTGTTGGGGAGGGATGTGGTGGAGGATTTGGTGAAGGATGCGTTTGATAGCGCGGTGGAGAGGCATATTGAGGTTGGTGATGGGCTGTTGATGATGGTTATTACGAAGGATGGGATCGAGGAGATTTACAAGCCGCTCAAGCAGGATTAGGCGGGGAGAAATGGGGGTTGGCATTTTCTAGATCTGGCACGAGTAGGGGGTAGAGCAGCGTGTATACTATGGCCTCATAACGGTGTTATATGGTTTGACCAGAAACTGATTCGTTGACTTGCTTTTTCTGTATCTGCGTCTGGAGCAACAAATGGGCAGTGATACTACTTTATTCCAGCATTGAGTGGCCAGAGACGGACAACTAAATTAATCCCATATATGCAGCAATGGCTAGGTCTCGATGTCCTTGGGCCAACCAAGATACCGTACCAGCACCATGCGATACGGCATACTTTATTTTCAATCGTCTTCCCTCCGTTCGTCTTACCGTTCTATCACTGCTCTGTTGTCACCGCCTCCCTGCTGTCACTACTCCTTTCCTGCCACCATTCATCTCTATCACCGCCACTACATGCCAACATCGTCCGGGAAACCACCTAGATAGCAGCTGTGCCGGAACAGAATCCTTTCCAACCATGGGCGCTGAAGTCTTCTGGAAATTCTCCGGTAAAATGAAAATAAGAGAGTGGATAAGCTTGTTTGTTTCGAAAGGTCTATTCGGAGTCACTAATAATGCTATTTATACTATTTCCAATTCGGGTCTAATAGGTTCAGGGTGAGCAACTCAAGCCGACTCATAATTTAGTGCTGAACACATAATTGGAGTTTGACGACTTGATTGAGTAAACTATGGGTGCGAAGCCCTATATATACATATAGCCAGTATACAAGCTACACTGTGCAGCGTACATCTAGGAACGTAGTTCCAACATTTAGAGGCCCGACTTAGACTCAAGAGTCAGCTGACTCAACCAACTTGTGAGTCAGTGACTTAGTATATCACATGACTAAATTATGACATGATTAAAAACAGAATATACTTTAAAATGCTTCTAAAATTTAAACTAATGACTAAAACAATATAATAAAATGAAAAAAATGAGAAACTAGCTAGTACTATTAGATATTCCAAAATTCATTATATTCCAAAGGAATCTCTAGACCTTAATTCTCTCCCTAATCATCATAAGGATTAAATATATGTCATACTGACATTCGTTGCACTCAGTTTGCTATCAAACTCAAGAGCAAACTTGGAAATCTCCTCCTCAAACCTACAAGTCACTATACATATTTTGGCTTATCACACCAACAACAAGAGCAATACTACTCAACGATTGCTACAACCATCTATGATTCATTACACGTCATCGCTCCTTAGTTACTGGGCCGATATTACCACATAGCATATCTCTACAACCCTCTATGATTCATTACATGACATCACTCATACTACCACATGACATATCTCTACCAACTAGAGGCCTAGGAGCATGAACGATAGCTCTAAAAGCTCCTACGAACCTCTATGATTCATTACATGTCATCACTCTTTAGTTACCCACAAGATTGGTTAAGTTATGACATAATTTGTCTATGACATAATTTGTCTATAGGGGTACTCTGACCTTGGACCTCCTTTTACTTCCTATAGGCTACGAACCTAAGAGATGGTTCTATGGGATTCTCTTATGTCGACTACAGTTACCAAGCCTGGTTAGTCATGGAAAGTCTTGGAAAATGAGAGAACTACACTCCTTTAGCATAAATAGGATTGCCTTTTCCTTAAGAAAGGGCAAGCAGACAATACAGTAAATCGACTATCACATACTTCCACGTCTTTTCCAAGCTTCCAAGCATTGATCTTGTTACTCCTTGTTTCTGAAAAGTCAGTGAGGTGTTAACCTCTGACTTATCCCTGAGTTCTCAGACTCAACATTTGTTGCAACTTGTCTGAACCACTTCACTACATCACACACCTGATTGCTGCGTTGTGGAATAGTCTCAGCTACAACCCTTTGGCTCTGTTTCCTAAGACAGTGTGTTGTCTTAGTAAAATCATCCCTTCCCCTGGATGGCTAGATTCTCACATCTGGTGCACCCACCATTACAATATAGAGTCTGTAGGTTCTTGAACTGCTAAAATGATATTTAGGGTTAGCACAAATAATCATAATAATCAAGACTATTCGAATAGTCACATATTATGTAACGTATTTCGCAAGCGAAGCGCTCACACAAGCGAAGTGATCACTAAACTTCCCACCTAAAATTAAGGAATTTACAAGATAATAACTCAACAACAACTTCATAATATATATTAAAAATGTATTTCTAGCCTTTTCTATTTAGTTGAATTCATACCTAATCATTTACAAATAATCTATTTAGTAGTTCTTAAGATATTAAGTTTAGGACTGAAATTTAGACTAGGTCTTTATATTTCAATATCTTCCTAGTCTAATTGCTTTAAAGCTTAAAATAAAGGAATCTACATGTATATATAAGGATACACACACATTTTTAGAATATATTATGAAGTTGTTGTTGAGTTATTATTGTTACAGCTATTGGCAGAGCTATTAGCCAAGTAGGTCATGCTACAGGACCCCACGTCACCCTGCAGAATAGGACTGTGAGAACTGTTGGAACTTGTACAGTTCCTACAGTTCCTACAGGTCCTTAGGGCAGAATTTAGGATGGAACTGTGAAGACTGTTGGAACTTGTACAGTTCCTACAGTTTCTACAGTTCCTTAGGATGGAACTGTTAGAACCTGTAGAGTTCCTTACAGTTCCCTTTTGTCATACTGACATTCGTTGCACTCAGTTTGCTATCAAACTCAAGAGCAAACTTAGAAATCTCCTCCTCAAACCTACAAGTCACCATACATATTTTGGCTTATCACACCAACAACAAGAGCAATACTACTCAATGATTGCTGCAAACTCTTCTACTACATCTGTTTATGCTACATACATCACGGCATATCATTTGAACACTCATTGAACAAGTTATTACGGAAAGGATCTGAGTCGGGCAGGTTACGGTCACATGATAAGAGTTAAGGCAGGTTAGCCGAGTCGGACCCGTTTCGGGTACTTAAGGGGATTGACCCAACGGGGTCCCTCTCCCTCAGTGATGGAAGGTATCTGAGTCAGACAAGTTACAGTCACGTGGTGAGAGTGAAGGCAGGTTAGCCAAGTCGGACCCGTTTCGGGTACTTAAGGAGATTGACCCAACGGGGGTTCCTCTCTTCATCTTTTTTGTATCCTTCGTAGTAGACCTATAGGATAGCATCTGTTTAGCCTCCGACTCGCACTCTCATATGCTATTACTGTGAGCTGGGTGCCCTGTGTCCTTACATTATACAAAAATGATCAGGCCTGCCGGGGACGGCTTCTGCGTCTTGTTTTGCATGTTGGAATCCATTGTAGGTTGAGGGATTGAAGTTCGAAGTGCCTGGCCCTGATTTTGAGTTTGGCCCATGTTGTTCGAAAATGACTTTGGCTTCCTTTTGTCTTCTTGTTCCTTGATCCGCTGAATGTTCTGGTCGATGAGCATGCATTTCTTTGCAAACTCGTGAAGTGTAGTAGCTCCAACTTCAGCCACTAAGGCTTTCTGCATCTGTTGGTTGACTTTGAAGCGCAAGTCATCCAGCAAAGTTTCTTCAGAGTAATCAAGCTCTGTCGTGAGCCTTTGGAACTCAGCCCAGAACACAGGTGTTGTTTCTCTGATACAGCTTTCGATACTCAGTTTGAGCTGTGTGCCTTCGATCGGGATCACTGAAGACTTTTTCCAAAAGTTCGAGAATTTCTTCTGCTGTCTGCAATTTGTTTGTAGAGTTTGGTCGAAGCCTTGGATTGACATGTCGAACTGCCAGTCCTCCCAGTCGACTCTGAATGTAGCTCATTTGTAAAGTCTGTGTTGGAAAATGATCAATGTTGGCTTCGAGCTTGAGGCGAATTTTCACAACCCAGTCTTCAAATGCTGGCTCTATCCCATCTGTGAGGATTGGAGGGTCTGGAATCCGAGCTGACAGTCGACTGTGAGAGTGGTGTCCTGGTTCATTCTTCAGAGCTTGTTGGGTTTGCTTTTCAAGATATTTCTGAATTGTTTGTTGCTCTGTGATTTGTTGCTCGTTGCTCTGGATCAGTTCCTGTAACTGGAGAATGGCATCATCCTTTTCAGCCAGTATCGAATTTGAGTCCTCTGCTAGGGCCAAATAGTCCCGAAGAATGTTCTTGTGCAAAGTCCATGCCATTTTCTGGTTGGCGACAGATAGTTTCTGGAATTCGTCAAAGGTTTCAACATTCCATTCAGCCTTTTCATGTCGATTTGCAAGTATAGATTCATGTCTCTCTTGAGCTGTTTTGCCCAGAGTGTGCAGGAAGGTTTCGGATTTGAAATTAGGATCATGAAGTTCATTGGTTTGGTTTGCAGAGCTTGGAATTGATGCTCCTTCTGCCAGGGATTCCTGGTCTTGTTCTGGATCATTTCGAGCTGCCATTGCAGCTTTTTCTTCAGCTGTATAAGCCATAGTGAGTTGCTATTTCAATTTCGGTTTATATCGTCACGTCAGACACATATTGCCAAAGGCCCTATTGTGCAGTTGTTGGCCGTAGGAGCCACTCGAGAGGAGTGCACTTCCCTCAGAGTTATATCCTTGTCGAGGGAGCGTTGTAAAAGGTCTGGCTTGCGAAGGTGGTGTGTGTGTGTCGAGCTGACTGTTGAAAGCCAACTTTGAGGGGTTGCCTCGAGATCGTCCTGGAATCGACTTCAGGATAAGGTTTCTGGTTCTGGGGTTTTCAAAGAGTGGATTTCGATTTCGATTTCAGAAGAGGGTTCAGCTCAAAGAGCAGGAAAAGAGGTATAAGAGAGATTGAGTTTTATGTCTCGGTTCACCAAGGCATAGGGCGCCAGTTGGGTATTATGAATTAAACTCAATCTAGAGAAGAAAGGAAAGAGAAGAGGAGCACTCGAGCAGTGGCTCGATCTATATACAGCTATGTTGTTGTGGAGTGAATTCTCTTTAGCGAGACCAGTTCTGAGAATTCACTCCACAACTGAAAACTTCGCTCCAACCCCGGAAAGCTCCCCACACCCCTGAACCCCCACTCGAGCTGCAAGGCGCACTTGATATCGTAACAACATCCTCATGAAGGATTCGAACAACCCCCTACCTGGTCAGGATCCGCCTGATCCTAGCAGCGAAGTGATAGACAGCGTAGAGGAATGGGAAGTGAAAAAGATCCTTGCTGTAAGGCTCCGCTGGA